TAAGAAAAATATGCTGGCTATACTAAATGTATATTTTAAAACTTTTTTTAAAAGAAGACGGTAGTAAAAAGAAATACGTATTCAAATATACAAACACACATTTAATAATGCAACCGGAGAAACAATGCTATATTTTTCAAAAGTACAGTAAATATTTATCTTCAAAGCAACCCTGGAGTCCAATCCAAACAGTAGGCTACTAGAGTTGCCGAATGAAATGTTTACTGCGTTATAATTTATTTTTATGTTTACTCTATAGCTTTAACGATGCATTTATTACTACTTATTTCTATTAGGTTCCAACAATATTATAAATTTTCAAATAGGATATGTTAGACAGATCTTCAAATTCGAGAATTTGAAGAAGTTCATTGGGCAGACAATACTTTTTTCGGCCAAAAATAAAATAAAATTTATCTTTTGAAAATGGAAAACTGGGTTTAACAGAATTATGGAATTATTTAAGTCTGAATCAGTTTGGGCATTCGATGAGTGTTTATTGTAAACAGTGGAATTTCTTCTGAGATCGCAGCAGCGTGCGACAGGTACCGAAGCATATACTTTCATCCATCTTCTTTTTATACTTTAGCCATTGACAAATCTAACCACTCCCCCACAGTCTCAAAACACGCTGTAAAGGGAAGTAATTTATTTTTCTAATGGGTTTTGAATTTGTTTCTCTCCCTGAATTAAACTAAAGTACATTGCTAAATTAGCTGTAATGAATATTATAGGACGTACATCTTTGAACTCTGCATCGTCTGGCAATATCGTTTTCTAAAACACACTTCAAGTTGTTTGCATTTTCACAAGAGATAAAAAACACCCAAACTCTAAATATTGTTGCTAATACCCAATTACGTATGATTGTTATCATGGGTCGGGTCTGTGAATCAAACTCCCCCCCCCCCCACCTCACCTTTCCTCCCTTTACACACCCCCTCCCTTTGATCCAGGAAAAACCGATCGCGTTTATAAAACACTTTTAATACCGAAATGTAAGTTCCGTTAAATCGAGGAGAGATTGGATAGCCTGTTTTCTTCATAGTGATTTCAGCCATGAAGCTATTGTGTTGCTGGAGTTCTTCTGAATCTGATTGTCCGTTATTGTTGGATGTCGGTGGTTCTAGAGATTTAGTTTCAATAAAAGTTGGAATCTATTTTACTTTGTATCATGCTGAGGTTTATAATTTGTTTTTCTAAAAGTGCCAGTATTGTGTCTATGTGATGTTGTACTTTCGGTATCGCAGTAAGGCACTTGGTAGGGTTTAGGTTAGTTAGTATTATGGCTAGTGTTAATATTTTGCTTGTGTATAAGGATTTAGTTGTGCTAGAGTTAGGATTGTTGATGAGTTCGTTTTAGGTTTAAGGTAACTAATTAAGTAGTTGTTAGAGTTAGGATTATGGAATGAGTTCGTTTCAGAGTTAAGGTAACTAATTTAGTAGTTGTTAGAGTTAGGATTATGGAATGAGTTCGTTTCAGAGTTAAGGTAACTAATTTAGTAGTTGTTAGAGTTAGGATTATGGAATGAGTTCGTTTCAGAGTTAAGGTAACTAATTTAGTAGTTGTTAGAGTTAGGATTATGGAATGAGTTCGTTTCAGAGTTAAGGTAACTAATTTAGTAGTTGTTAGAGTTAGGATTATGGAATGAGTTCGTTTCAGAGTTAAGGTAACTAATTTAGTAGTTGTTAGAGTTAGGATTATGGAATGAGTTCGTTTCAGAGTTAAGGTAACTAATTTAGTAGTTGTTAGAGTTAGGATTATGGAATGAGTTCGTTTCAGAGTTAAGGTAACTAATTTAGTAGTTGTTAGAGTTAGGATTATGGAATGAGTTCGTTTCAGAGTTAAGGTAACTAATTTAGTAGTTGTTAGAGTTAGGATTATGGAATGAGTTCGTTTCAGAGTTAAGGTAACTAATTTAGTAGTTGTTAGAGTTAGGATTATGGAATGAGTTCGTTTCAGAGTTAAGGTAACTAATTTAGTAGTTGTTAGAGTTAGGATTATGGAATGAGTTCGTTTCAGAGTTAAGGTAACTAATTTAGTAGTTGTTAGAGTTAGGATTATGGAATGAGTTCGTTTCAGAGTTAAGGTAACTAATTTAGTAGTTGTTAGAGTTAGGATTATGGAATGAGTTCGTTTCAGAGTTAAGGTAACTAATTTAGTAGTTGTTAGAGTTAGGATTATGGAATGAGTTCGTTTCAGAGTTAAGGTAACTAATTTAGTAGTTGTTAGAGTTAGGATTATGGAATGAGTTCGTTTCAGAGTTAAGTTAACTAATTTAGTAGTTGTTAGAGTTAGGATTATGGAATGAGTTCGTTTCAGAGTTAAGTTAACTAATTTAGTAGTTGTTAGAGTTAGGATTATGGAATGAGTTCGTTTCAGAGTTAAGGTAACAAATTTAGTAGTTGTTAGAGTTAGGATTATGGAATGAGTTCGTTTCAGAGTTAACGTAACAAATTTAGTATTTGTTAGAGTTAGGATTATGGAATGAGTTCGTTTCAGAGTTAAGGTAACAAATTTAGTATTTGTTAGAGTTAGGATTATGGAATGAGTTCGTTTCAGGTTTAAGGTAACTAATTTTGTAGTTGCTAGAGTTAGGATTATGGAGTGAGTTCGTTTCAGAGCTAAGGTAATAAATTTAACAAACGCACGAATGTACTTTTGATACGCGTTTTTATCTTGTTGTTTTTACTAGTGTAGGTTAAATTTGCTAGAACTAGTTTAATGTATGTGATATACATGTACACATAAGACACACCTAAACATAACACAAACTGACAGCGTTGGCAAATGTATATAACTTTAGCCACTCATTTATTTTAAGCTAATTCTGATAGCAAACATTTATTACTGTGTACGGGTCAATTTTATTTCATTCAACATACACCCCTACATATACAGATACAAACATACAAGCCAACACGGGAAATATCAGTAACATCTCCCGTCACTTCTGCTAAGAGACCATCTTACATTGATGTCTCTATCGTTCCCGCATCGTCATTTAAACAAATAAATCGGGAGTGATCTCCCCTAAACTTTCTCGAATATTCTTATATAAAATAAAAGGGGATGGGAACTCGGGCTATAGACATGATTTTTAATCCATTTTAAATACTTAAAGTTTTAAAAATAGAATAAAATCTCGTAGACAAATTAATTGCACACCAAGTGAATGCCAAATAAAAAAGCGCATAATAGTGCGCAATATTATTAGTACTTTAAAAATTTACATTAGTTTTTTGAGAAATCGGAAGTAGCGTAAAGTACTACTTCCAGTCAACGGAAATTACTCAAAATTTAACAGAATGTAGAGAATTAGATCTTTTACTTACATGTGAAATTTCATTTATCTATCTGAAATAGTACTCAAGTTATAGGCTTTTGAAAAATTCAAAGTAGAAAAAGTACCACTTCCGGTTATCGGAAATCGCTCAAAAGTTGATACGGATCTACGATTTTGATAAAATACTTATATATGAAATTTCATCAACCTAGCTGTAACGGTACTCAAGTTATCGTGTTCACACACGGACAGACAGACAGACACACAGACATACGGACAAGATTGCAAAATTATGTTTTTCCGTATCAGTGAGGTGTAAAACGTCGAGATTTATAAAAATCTCGATTTTTTTTTGCACGATTACAAGACTTTCTCTATACTTCGTATATACGAGAAAGTAAAAATTACTCTTCAGAGATTGTGAGCAGACAAAATAGAGTTTGTATGAATCTTGACCTAGGGGTATGAAGGGATGGTGTTGTCAGCACTATGCCCAACTGCTTTTACTATGTCAGGTACCCAACTAAGCTGGGTGGACTCAGGCACGCCCTACAATCAAAAGTCCAAACCGAGATTCGAACTCGAAACCTTCAGGCGAGCAGCCCACCGCTCCACCAATCGACCACACAGTCCCTCCAACCCCATACCTACTTCTGATCTGATTTTTTTCTTCGCCTTGTGTCTGACGTTGCTTTTGCCAGAATATCGTGCTATAGAGTCTGGCAGAAGATTATTCTAGACAGTTATAAATGTCTGTACTTTCTGTATCGTGATCTGGATCATCCCGCAGGTCTCCGTTCCATACATTAACCTTATTTATATATATATATATATATATATATATATATATATATATATATATATATATATATATATATATATATATATATATATGTATGTATATATATATATATATATATATATATATATATATATATATATATATATATATATATATATATATATATATATATATATATATTAACATGACTAGATGTAAGATTTTACACTAACGTATACACTCATAAATACATTTATGTCTCTTTTTCGTAGAAATAATAGTACGATATTTTAAAATTTTACCCCCCCCCCCCCCCCCCTCTCCCCCCATTTCAAGCAAATCGTACCATCATGTACAGGATTTGAGACTGAACTTCTCTGATGTATGTGTGTGACGTCAGATAAATTAACGACATCATTATAACACGTCCGTTACGCCGATAGCCAAAAATAAATCACATTTCTCATTTACATACAGATTAAGGTTTAGCCCGCGCCTAACCAGCTGTTGTTGTCGAGGTATAAATACACGCCAATAATCACCTCGCTGTGTTCGACTGTTTTTCCATAAAAATTCAATCTATTTTCTCCGTAAGCTTCTTCCTGAGCTGAGTATATGAACAACAGAGTACTTTGTTTCTATTATTGTGTTTTCATATTTTATCATTAAATGATTCATTTAACTTGTGAGTTTACATGATACAAAAAAATCTATAATAGAATCTTTCTTTATAATTTTACAAATTTTAAAAAAATTTGTATATTAAACTAAGGCCAGAGTTTTAAAAAACCATTAAAAAACTCAAAAAGTTTGAAATGTGTCTTTTTCTGAAAGGTTTGATGTCTAACATAAAATTATCATTTCATTGAAGAATGGTTTATTATTTTTTATCTACTTTTTAATGCTTTTTTTTAAATAGTGAAAGAACGAATGGATTATCCTAAATGCATCACAACAACTGCAAACTAAAGAAGAGCCTTGCCACAAAATGTGATACCGCCCAGCGCAATAAAAAAAACATAGTTACACCAAACTAGAAACGGAAATTAATTTTTCTGAAGTCAGCGCTACTATCAATACCCTGCAATGAAATATATGGCTGTCGTATCTATGGAAACCACAAACAGCCCTCATTATTCAATACGCATGACGTAATGTCAAGGAAGATAACCACTTATAATGACATCAAAGGAAATTTCCGTTCTCCGGCTGTTTCTGTTGTTGGAATATTTGATTCTGTGTGCTGGTGAGTTGGGCCTATAAATAACTCAGCACGCTGTGTGTTGGTGTGTAGTCTAGACACTGTTCGTACTTAGCATCAGTGGCGTAGCCAGGATCGTCTCAAGGGGGGTGGGTTCCAATTTTTACCCGGGGACAAACTTTCGATTTGCACCCCCCCCCCCCCTCAAACTGTCGATTTGCATCCCCCCCCTCAAACTTTCAATTTGCACCCCCCCCCCCTCAAACTTTCGATTTGCACCCCCCCCCCCTCAAACTTTCGATTTGCACACCCCTCATACTTTTTCTATATACCGAGGGGTCTATGGGGGGGTTATGACCCCCCCTACCCCCCTGCATACGCCACTGCTTAGCACGCTGTGTGTTGGTGTGTAGTCTAGACACGGTTCGTACTTAGCACCAGTGTTTCTTCCAGATTTTTTCTCCGGGGGGTACTTGAAATCTTCGGGGGGCGGTAAACTTTCTTCGGGGGGGGGGCGGACACTGTTAAAAGTATATATTTTCTATATAAATTATATAAATTTCATTTCGTTCGGGGGGGGGGGGGGGCGGTAAAAATTTTTCGAAGAGATGCCTGGAAGAAACTCTGCTTAGCACACTGTGTGTTGGTGTGTAGTCTAGACACTGTTTGTGTACCCGAACTGTACTTGTGAACGATGTTCAATCGTCTTGCAGAAGCAGATGTTTTTGTAACCATTCCATTTTTAAATGGTTAGGATAAAAGTAGCCTATACAGCTTTTAAATAGTGAAGGTAAAACAGATTTTATTTTAACTCATTAAAAAAATACCCAACTCCTGTACTTTTTATGTTAATTTTAGTTTTACGCAATAGGACTATTTAGTTAGAAGAAGGGGGATAATTTTTATACCGGTGTCCGATAATGGAATCTTCTTTAATAAAGGGGTGTTAGGTTACTGGTAGTTAACTAAATAGACACATTGCTGGCTAATGTCACTGCTAACCCTATCCCTAACCCTAACCCAAACCCTAGTCCTTCCATACGCCTAACCCTAATTTCTAACCATAAAATTAGTCGAGATTACAATACAAACCAACACACCTATTTTATGGAAGCGTCTATTATCGGACACCGGTATCTATAATCATCCCTCATTTTTTAACACTAAAAAGGATAAAAAGGCTGTTATACTTAAAACCCATACTAAATCTCACCATAAACCTTAATTAAATGAAACCTAAACTGTAAACACTAGTTAACTATTATCTTAACACATATCCTAAACTTATTGTTCCCTGGTGTTGCACGGCTGAACTAAGATTGACCCCTCCCCCGCAACTTTGTTGCGTTTTTTAACATTACATGCTTATGTGTTACCACCTTTGATGTGTTATGATTTAAGATCATCACATCCCCCATCGGTTACCCTTTTGTTATATTAGTGAACATCACATGCTCATGAGTGGCAGTCTTTGACCCCAATTTCAACTACCTACCCAAGCTAATTCAATTACTTACCCACAAAAAGAACGATTAATTAAATTATTAGATTCTTACCTATGAATATTCTATACTCCCTAAGAGCAGAGTTATTAGTATCAATATAAAGGTTTGAAAAAGCAATAGAATCACCAAAAACATTTAAAGCTCTTTGACATTAGACAGTTTCAATCCAAAAAAAATACCAGTTGTTTTTGTAAAAGTGTTCTTGTTCCCATTGAGTTAAGTAAATTCCTATAAGGAAAACATGTCTAGCAGTCCATTGCAGACACCGTCCCATATCAGGAGCACAGAAATGGTTTAAGTTATATTTTTCTGACTACGTGGAATTTATGTATACCCGAGTGAATTATGTGTGTGAGTTTAAGGCCATTAACCACATGCTGACTCGGATGTTTATGGTGTGGTGGGTAGTGTAGGTTTGTGAGAGGGGGGGGGGGGTGCCGGGTGGCTGAAGAATGAGTGTTCCAGTATGTAGAAGTGTGTGGGGGGGAGTACTTTATTTTATAGAGAATCTATTAGATTTTTTATTTAAATTTTTTTTTATAAAAGTGTAGCTTTTTATTTTTAAAAAGTATTTTTTCGAAGCTAGTTTTGCATTTAATGAACAAAACACAAAAGTCTAAATTAAGCACAGGAGAGTGTGAGATATGTGTTTGTGGGTGGGTGGTGTGTATATGCGCATACCCTTAGCTTCCTTTACAATATGTACGTTTTCTTCAACTCCTCGCTTCATTTTTTTTTAAAATTAATTACACCCACCACCAACCAATGAAATAAGATATAACCCTTCATAGTAGTGCTTTTCAGAGTTTCCTCCAGACATATGTTCTGGGGGCGTAGCAACCCCCCCCCCCCCACGTTAAGTTTACACACACTCCCCCCCCCCCCTGAACAAAATGGAATTGATATAGAAATTGTATACTTTTACCAGTGTCCGCCCCTTCCCCCCCCCCTCCCCGAAATTATCAAGTACCCCCCTCCCTCCGCAAAGAAAACATTCTGGAAGAAATGAAGAAACACTAGTGCTCTTGAAAAATAATTGTACTTAATCGGGTTACGTTATTTTATTTATTAAAAAAATACTAACGCGTTAAAATATGTTTTCTCTCTTTTTTTTCTGCCTCTCCCCTTCAAGTAGTAGAAACAACAGCAAGTTTTCTCGACGAAAACCCCCAACACCAAATCACAACTGAGTATTACAACACCAACACCGTCAGCTATGGTAACAGCAACGACAACAACGGAAGTAGCGAAGATCTCCACAGCAACAGCCTCAACGGCAACGACAGCGCCCGAGAGGGGGGCAGGTACAGGGGCGTCAAGGGGTGGACAGACGAACAGCGGCTGTTCTACAAGCTGTTGGAGGGGTACGACCCCAACACCAGACCGGTGTACAACGCCTCTGACGCCGTCCGGGTGTTGATTGGAATAACCTTGACACAGATATTTGACCTGGTGAGTCACTTAAGGTGTAGATGCATGTGTTATAAATGAAGATACTTTTTAAAATTAATTTGTGTTCTATTTATATAATTTGAAAATGTATTTAGATAAATTATTGCGCCAAAATGCTAAACCAAAAGTCACGAGTTTGGATCATGGGCTTGAGTTGTAGGTTGTCCCTGAGTTACCCAGCTTCTGATTAACTGCTTCACGGCTGACCATAGTGCTGACCATACCATCGCCCTGAATTATTTTCAATTGTTGATTTTGTCATATAGTGATTAAGGAGGCTGTACTTGTCCATATAAATAGCGGTGTATAGTCACTTTATTGTGATAAAAGAAAGTGCCTTTGCTTCTTTCTTTAACACCCCTAACAACTGCTAACCCCTTCCCCCCCCCCCCCCCCCACCCCCACCTCAAATAAAAAAGATTACATATGTGTTAATGAGATAAGTAAAAAAAATGCAAACACAATATCATGATTAGGACACGCAATCTCTCAATATTATCCCGAGATAATCATTCCATCTAGTGCTGCAGCGATGAGATCAATGCCACGCGATCACGTCATGGACCCTTCCCCTATCCCACCCCCCGCCACCCACAACATCAGATATCCACGATACACCTGTAATCGGACACGCCCAGCTTTCATCACGACTCCCCCTGGGCCTGACGTTCAAGTGGCCGTCATATTCACATCACATGCCAAAAACATGCAGGCGTACGATCAATGGCAGGTTCTAGAGACAGCCGCTGGGGTAAGGGGGAGAGAGGTGATGATGATACATCCGTCCCACGCTTTAAAAACTCATAACAACTTACTTCCCAGTTTACGATGCGTATTTACTTGGGATGTAGGGCATTGATTTATTCGCCGACTACTCCACAATTTACAAAGCAAAACGTAGAAAAATGTGCTTTAAGTTGTGACTGGTAACATTTTAATGGTTTTTTATCGATAGGCCGCTCCTTCAAGAAATTATGATAATAAAATGAAGTAGACTTTAATGACTAGAGCTCAAAATTAAACACCGCGTAAGATTGTCTTAGTCATAGAGGAACGGAGTTAACCCTGTTTATTTGCAACTGTCTTTTTAGTTTTAGCTGTGAATAAAATAATGAATGTGTATATTTTCCCAAATCATATCACTGTACTGTCTTTATTAATGTATTAACTTAAAATTCATTTATAAGTACAATAAGAAATGGCGGAAGTAAAACCCTTAAAATGAAGTTAATATCTACTAATAATCGAGGGTTTTTTTTTGTTCGAGCATAGTGTTTGCGACATGTTTATTCACAACTAAAAGCGAATATGAAAAGTAAAAAGAGTGTAGTAATTTAACGTGAATAGTGCGTTCATATTGCTGCTTGACTTTGTAGGCCAATAATTTGATGCAATAAAATAAAACGTTGCTTTGACGTTCAAAAACCTCAAACACCGCGAATGAATGAGTCTTTTTGAGTGCACGAATAGATTGCTATTTCAGTGGGAAAAATGGTTCTGTGGCTAAAATACTATTCAAATGTAGGGCCTAAAATAAGTTTGAATGTGTTTTAAAGAAACCTAAACTTAAAGCTCATGAGATTTCTTGAAATTTCTTGTTACGACGAATCTGATTAAGAAAATGGTTTTTTGTTCAAAGGTCACTGACCCTGTCCTCTGCGCATGTCAAGCGACCGGTGGTAAACAAAACGAAAGTCTAACAACCGCGAGCAATTCGATTAGTTTATTAGCTTTAAAAGTTACACCAAAAACTAAAAGGGATTTGGTTTTTTTTTTTTTTTGGTTTTTTTTTTTTGCAATTTTTTTACCAGTCACTCCAACGAGATTGAAATGAGAAAAAGAAGAAAAAAACGTTACGTTTCGTACCATTTTGTAAAATATAAAATAAAAACAAATGAAACAATAATTTAGTAAATTGCAGCTATATGAACATTTCTTTACTTTCTCATATATGAAGTATAGAGGAAATATTATTTATGTACTTGTAATCTTAAAGTTGTATTTCTCAATTCGAGAATATTTTTTTTTAAAATGTGCTACACTTTATAAGCAATCATCACTGAACCCCGGTAAATAAACTAGCATAATTTTAAAATATTTTCAAGAGAAAAAGTGGCCACTGTACTACACACGAACGGTTGTAGGCTATGTCCCTCGTAAATCAAGTAAAGAGGAACTAAATCAGAGAAATGAAATTGACTTACACTAGACTGAATCATCACGCTCAATGTTGCATCCTTGTTGATTTTAAAACTTTCTTCCAACAGGATGAGAAGAATCAAGTTCTAACCACAAACGTTTGGCTGGACCAGGTGAGTTTGTTTTTTTAGTAATTTGATTGAGCTAGACATTAAGGTGAAAGCAGTAGTCGGTAACTAGGTCTCTAGGATTTGCAATTTGCTTTTAAAAAATACGGTTCCTGTTTATTGCATAATTTACAGGGCAGTGCTTAGGGAAAAGGGACAGGGTTTTTGAGCCATGGGGCAGGTGAGGTTCGAATTATCGATAGATGGGGACAGCAACTCATCTAGGAGAGAAAACTCAAAAAAAAAATAAAAAAAATTAACTTCTAGTTTGTTCTCAGAAGGACAAAGGCTATGAAAGCAAATCCAAAACGATAAGCAGGCTGAAATCAGAGTCAACGGGCCATATGGCGCAAATCATGTTGACACGTAATACATAATTGTGTTAGAGGAAATCCCGTCATACAATACATTTAAGAAAAATATGGCCGCACTTAGATAAAAATCGTCAGGTTTAGAAACATTGGACGAATTTAGAAAAATAGAGCCGGGCTTGAAGAAACAGAGTCATCTTTAAAACAAAAAGAAGAGCCGCGCATAGAAAAGAGGGCCATCTTAGAAAATAGGGCGGGCTTAGAGAAACCAGGGCATGTAGTCACCTTGTCTTTCATATAAAATCGTGTTGCTTTTATTGTATAGGACTTTGACTTTGGTAGTTAAATGTTTATCACACACTTATTAATGTGCTCGGTCATGTACGTGATATTGGCTGAAATAATGATAAAAAGTTACCTTATTTAAAGAAGAATGACTGCCAATGTCTAGGCTTCATGATGTGGATGTTATAATCTCAATTCTACTCTTCATTCGACAAATTACAATGGGGCTCAAAATATGGCCCCCAGCTGACCATTTTACCGTTAGAACTCAAACTCCTTCAAATCTGTGTTGTAGATGTACGCTCTGCTTCTGGGCTACATTAATCTATCTCAACTATTCAAATAACTTGTACCGATATGTGTTGTATTGCGAACACTCGCCCACCGGCTTAGTCTGGTCATTAGAATGTCTGGCTAATTGCAACAGTTGGGTTTGGCCAATCACACGTCTGGCTAATTGCAACAGTTGGGTTCGGCAATCACACGTCTGGCTAATTGCAACAGTTGGGTTTGGCCAATCACACGTCTGGCTAATTGCAACAGTTGGGTTTGGCCAATCACACGTCTCGCTAATTGCAACAGTTGGGTTTGGCCAATCACACGTCTCGCTAATTGCAACAGTTGGGTTTGGCCAATCACACGTCTCGCTAATTGCAACAGTTGGGTTTGGCCAATCACACGTCTCGCTAATTGCAACAGTTGGGTTTGGCCAATCACGCGTCTCGCTAATTGCAACAGTTGGGTTTGGCCAATTACACGTCTCGCTAATGGCAACAGTGACCGGAAGACATTTTTTGATGATTGATTTTTTTTTTACTTATGGTTTATTTGTGTCTCGAGCGCACGTGCTTAACTCGATACTTCCCCAACTACGTCATGCTGATAAATTTGCTGGCGGGAGTGTCGCAGACTTTGCTCTCTGTTTAGTTGTGTTTGAGTTGCCACATTGGCTTGTTATTGGACCAAATTTCGGACATTTTGAAACTTTTCCATTTATCTTGAACCTTGTAAAGTAACAATTGATATATGCATCGATATTTAGATAGATAAACAATACGAAATAAAATTTTAGCAGGCTGGTTAAATAATTGTTCTGAGCCTGAACATGATATAGCAGAAAGTAACATATAAAAAAAAGCATACATTACATGTCTTAAGTTTTAGTTTACAACTCAAGTACTTTCTTAATCGCTAGTACTTAAATACAATTAAGTAATTACGTAATTATATTTTGTATTAATTGCTATGCATACAATACATTTGAAAACATGCTTTTCATGTGTTTTTCTTTTTTTTTTAAATTAGATTATGTTAAACATATCTTCTAGTACAGAATATTGACTCTGCTTAAGAGTATCTAGATATGTAAATATAAGATGATACTTTCACTCACTATACGTGTTAATAGGTTTTCAATTGCTTTTATCAGTTAAAGATTGAAATTGTTATATTAAACTCAATACATATATCAGGGTTTTTTTTAATGTGTAAGAGTGTCACTATAAATTAACGTATAACCCCCTTTATCCTGGAGAATACCCACTAGGTTCTGAGCTGTTTAGGTGCACATTTTATGGCAGTCTCACTGTGGAATATTTACCCCATTTAACGTATAATACTAGGATTGATGGTTTTGTCATCTTTTTTGGCAACTTTTAGCAAGTGGTCTGGCAACGTTTCAACAGGTTGATCTGGCAACCTTATTGGAATCGATCATTTCACGCCTGCGTTGAACTTGCGCGTCTCGCGAATGACAAACTTCCGGTGTTCACCGGGAAGTTTTGAGCTTTAAAATATCCATTTTATTTCCATCTCTCATCGATTTTAGAGTCTCGACCAGATTTAAAATTTAAACGAAGAAATCAATTGCCCGAAAATTGAAAATACTCTTTGCTTGGTGATGTGAATCTAAGAAGTCGAATTTTAATTATTTTTTTTTACGAATAGTTTTACTGTTTCTTCCCTTTGGAACCTTACGGTCGATTTGGAATGTGAAGTAGAGCTCCCCTGTTTTCTGTTACCTCCGCACAGTGGCGTAGCCAGGATCGTCTCAAGGGGGGGGGGGTTCCAATTTTTACCCGGGGACAAACTTTCGATTTGCACCCCCCCCTCAAACTTTCGATTTGCACCCCCCCCCCCAAACTTTCGATTTGCACCCCCCCTCATACTTTTTATATATACCGAGGGGTCTATGGGGGGGTTATGACCCCCCTAACCCCCCCCCCTTGCCTACGCCACTGCCTCCGCACGTGAGCTGACAGTGTGGTCAGAACTATGCCTTCAGTTTCCTTAACGTGGGTCAGGTCCCCATCGGAGGTTGGTGGACTCAGGGACGTCCAACGGACTCGAACCCGGGATCCGAACTCAGGACTAACTGGTTAGCAGCAGTGGCGTAGCCAGGATCGTCTCAAGGGGGGGGGGTGCAATTTTTACCCGGGGACAAACTTTCGATTTGCACCCCCCCCCCCCCTCAAACTTTCGATTTGCACACCCTCATACTTTACATATATACCCCCCCCCCCCCCCGCCTACGCCACTGGTTAGCAGTCTTACGATCTACCATTCAACCAGGGACAGAAAAACCTGCTAAAGTCGAAGTCAATGGGCCGTAACGTACATAACATGCTAACCCTGGAATACTTGAATGTGTTGGAGAGATTCCCTCCAATATTACAATTAACAACGATGAAGAAGAAGAATAAAATAGCATTATTTGTGCAAGGCTCTCAATCAGAGTTTCTTCCACGCATCTCTTCGGGGGTGGGGGGAGGGGGTTGGGGGGAGCGCCCCCGAAGAAAGTCTATCCCCCCTCCCCGAACGAAATGTAATGTGTATAGAAAACATATACTTTTACCAGTGCCCCCCCCTCCCGAAAATATCAAGTGCCCCCCCCCCTCCCCACAGGAGAAGAAAGTCTAGAAGAAACACGACTCACAATGACCTCTATATTTGTCCCATGCTTTATCCGCTAGCAATGGAGCGACCAGAAGCTACACTGGGACCCCGAGGAGTTCAATGGTCTGAAAGTACTGCGGATACCTTGTCGACACCTGTGGAAGCCGGATATTGTTTTATACAACAGGTAACTTTTTTGTCAGGCTTAATGAAATTTATTTTTACACAATCGGTATTTTGAATAAATGAAATATAATGTTTTATACAATAGGTAATTTGGATAAATGAAATATGTTTTATACAATAGGTAATATGGTTAAATGAAGTATATTTTTATAACAAGCAATTTGTTTTAATCAAGTACATTGATTTGTGCAAGGGGTAATTTGTATAAAAAATGTACGTTGATCTATAAAAATGTTAATTTGAACAATAGTGTATTGCTTAATTTAACAACTATATTTAGGTAAATGTAGTACATGGTTTTATAAAACAGGTAATTTCGCTAACAACTTTCAAATCAAATAAGTCAAATTTAGACTACTACCTTATTGTTGGTTTCTTTTCTGATCTGGAAAGACTATCTCTGGAACTTTTTGGACCGTAATTAGTTTTGAAGTCCACCGTCGAATAAAAACAATCGAATCCTCCTGTTTTGTAATAATAAATACATTTGCAGAACTGCCATACGTAAACGTTTATGAATAAATGTCTTCTTAATTACAAAGTGTTATTTTCTCAAGATAAAAAGATTAGTTTGCCGCTGCCCCTGCCCGGAAAAATTTAGACCCCCCCCCCCCCCCCGAATATCACGTGACAACCCCTTCTCTCTCTCTCCTTCCCCCCCCCCCCTCGAGAAAAAAAACACTGTAGCCATTAGACACACCGACACACTGTATGGTTCAAATGGCGGGTTTTGTGTTCAAATAATAGTCATAAAATTGTCATATAGGAGGTTTTAGTGTAATCTTAATGAAGTGTCTAGTTAGTTGGACAATGAATAGTTTTTTAACAAATTTACCCAGACACGTCACATTTAAAAAAAAAAAAATTGTTCAGAAGTTACTTCCCATTCAAAAAATATTAAGAGCTAAGGTAGAAAACTTATAACTATGCTCGCAAAAAACGCTCCAAAACAAAAAATTAATGCAACATAACTTACATAAAATGTAAAACTTTGTTTTTATTTTGTTTAATATCAGTTGTAAATCTCGTACACGACTATTTATGTACTTTCTGAAAATAATACTGTTCAGAGTGACCATTCATCTTCAGTTGAGCTTTAAGCTGTATAAAATGTTTAATTTATAAACATGAATGAAACCACATAAACGTTACTGCTTGGGAATCCCTTATAGCTTTAAAAACAAAAATATGTTTATTACAAAAAAAAAGTTTGTTTATTACTAATAATAAAACTAAGTTTATCAAAAAAAAAACAAAAAAAAAACAATTACTTATTTATTTATTTTGAAAAAAAAAAAACATTTTTAAAAAGATTAAAAATAAACCGTAGGACTGCTACAGTATAGCTGTTTAAAATAGATGCATGCTTCATTTGATGGGTCTCATTTTAATTTAAATATTATCATCATCAATACTGCGTATAAAAATAATATTAGTTTACTTTTATCCCACAATTATTTCAGCCCTAGTTATTAGCCAATACGCCCTCAATCCACTCCACCTAAAATAATCAATACTTTGTAGTACTTGTGACATTAAAATATAAGTTGAAAAATAAATGTATTTTAATTAAAACTTATTAATATTTCCAAAGATGATCCATGTTATCCAAATGATACCTACCAGCCCGTGAGCAGCTAGCATAATCCGACTTAAGACCATACTTTACTCATGTACTCACAACTGCTATTTTAATTTTTTTTTCTCTCCGCTTTTTGTAAAGACAAAAAGCATGATACAAGTGCCTGGTGTTATTGTATTGCTAAAAATATAAACATTGTCTGTTTACGAATTTTATAAAAATGGCGAAGTATGGTGCAAATTATTTTTTTTATCTTGTAGCCCTAAAAACATAACATTACAAAAAAAATGCTAGGCTCAGATTTTAACCTTTATGAAAAAAAAAAAAAACACCAGCCACAAGTAATAATTTTGTGGATGACTTAATTGTAGAGTTGACCGTAGATATATATGAGTGGTGTAGCGAGGTCGGGTGTCACCCGGTGCGGCACTAAATGGTGACACCCCCCCCCCCCAGAGGCGTAGCGACCCTTCCCGGGGACAAACTTTCAAATTTTCGATTTGCACCCCCCACCCCCCCTCAAACTTTCGATTTGCACCCCCCTCGAACTTTCGATTTGCACCCCCCTCAAGTTTTTCTCTATATATTTTACTTTTTTTTTGCCTTGGTGTCACCCCCCTAAATGGTGTCACCCGATGCGGTCCGCACCCCCCCCCCCCCCCCGTTACACCACTGATTTATATAGATTTGGGGGCCGGGGAGCCGCCCGACCAGGGAGACATTAACGACTCACCAACACGCCAAGGATCACCGGTCACCCCACACTCACCAGATATAAACATAAAGATTACAACCAGCAGTTACTGCCCCTGATCGAATCATAAATTATTCCCTCTGTATCAGGTTTTTTTTATTGCGTTACGTTCTGTTAGAACATCTGTTACTCAGTTTTAGTGTACTAAAGCCAAAGTCCTCTTAAAGCTTGTCATTCTACGTTGATATATTGTTTACACCCCCCACACACGTATATATATATATATATATATATATATATATATATATATATATATATATATATATATATATATATATATATATATATATATATATATATATATATATATATATATGTATATATATATGCGCTTCACGAAGGAGCAAACGCTATGCTATCTGGATAATATCATGATATTTATTTATCATGATATTTTCTTACATACAGTCATCTAGATATCATGCAGTATTTTAACGGAAATAGTTAAGGATGAACGGCCATTCCCATTTGTTTAGTTCCTACAGAGCTTCGACTTACGACAATAGCCTCCTTGTATTCAAGCTGTCTCATCGACCCACATAAATCTACGCCCCCTTAACCCTGACTTAGATCTTGTGTCATAAACACACACATAAAAATAATTTATCTTCCATTGCCGTGTGTTTTTGTGTGTGTTTTTGTGTTGTTTTTTTTTTTTTCTTTTTTTTTCTTGCCAGATTTTTTTTATCGCATAAGGATGAAAACCACATTTTTAAAAATATAAAATACCACCCATATGAACACAACCAGATGCAGTGATTTCATTTGGTGCCGTTAACAATAGCAATAGACGGAGAGAGAAAAAAAATTAATGTAATCAAAATACCGGCGTCGCTTCCCTTGTTGTAAGGGGCGACTACCGCAGCGTGTGTCACAGCTGAGAATTTATTACTCGGGGCTGACTGATCTTGGTGTGGCACTGAGTGAGAATGGTCGTCAATTCAATAAATTATAGAACAGTTACACTCATCCGGTGTAGAGGGAAATAAGATTCCCCTATTATTTTTTTTAGCTACACGAATATTCGAAGGAATCTGATTTGCGTAGTGCAACTATTGACGGTCCGCCATCTTTGTTTCCTGTATTTTAATTCTTCTTGGGTATAGATTTTAATTAATTGATTAAAATCCATAAATCCATTCTCCTAGAAAATAAGACGTTGCTTTCGAATGTTTTAACATTCGAACTTCATTAAATAAAATCTAAAAAAAAACAACTTACACCAAACAAACTAAAATAACATCTTTACTTAAAAACATTATTGATGAAATGTGACTAATATAGTTTGCAAAAGTTGATTTTAAAATTGCTTTATTTAACTTAATATGTATTTTAACTGTGTTTTTAACTAAATGTCTTTGTTGAAAGTTTGTATACAACAAAATGTGTCTTTTGTCCGAATGTATTATAAAAAAAAATCTGTATGATGGCATGCGGCATTCAACAAAAGGTGTATGTTGATAGTATGCATTAAACGAAATGTGTATGTTTAAATTGTGCTTTTTTTAAAAAGTGTATTTAAATTTTGTATTTATTTTTTAAAATGTGTATATTGAAACTATGCATTAGTCAAAATGTGAGTTTAATTCGTGAAATTAAAAAAGTGTTTAAATTGTGTATTTCTAACAAAAATGTGTATGTCGACAGTGTGGAGGACTACACCGACGGCTACATGCAGTCTCTGGCCATGGTCTCCCACACGGGCGATGTCTTCTGGCCCCCCATCGTCAAGTTCCAGAGCACCTGTCAGGTAGACATCACCTACTTCCCCTTTGATGACCAGGTGTGCAGCATGAAGCTCGGCTCGTGGGCGTACGATGGTTTTCAGGTGAGTGACCGTTCTGTTCAGGTACACGACTGTTGTGTCCAGGTACACGACCGTTCGACCGTTCTGTCCAGGTACACGACCGTTGTGTCCAGGTACACGACCGTTGTGTCCAGGTACACGACCGTTGTGTCCAGGTACACGACCGTTGTGTCCAGGTACACGATCGTTGTGTCCAGGTACGCGACCTTTTCTTGTATAGATTATTCCATTTTTTTTTTATTTTGCTAGTTTATAACAAGAATTTATTTCAAGTAAATTCCTATCATGTATTGTAGACTATTTATTTTTCTCCATAGAACATAAAAAAAAAAAAACTGAGCGACCAAATTTTTCATCGTAGGAATTAAATATCATTTGTATGTTTTATAATAATTTCTATCTCATCACGTTTAATCTAAATGTTAATACAAATGATTAGTCAAAGTCTCTGACGCATCAGATCAGGCATTCCACTTCCATAGCAATAACACGCATTTACGGAATGTGAGTTGTCGCACACTAGAAATGCGTTGTCATTACACTATTTAAATATACTTTCAACAAGTCAACATGATTTTATTTACAGAATTATTATTTACCAACATATAAACCGAAATCAAAACGCAGGCTTACCCCTAATTATATTCGTATGTGACTCGTGTCTCGAGGTATCTCGAGTTTTTAAATTCGAAATAGAATTCTATTTTAAAACATTAATGCCCAGAATCCTTGTACGTATTTTAAAACATTTTTATTAAAACAATAGTTTACTTTTTAACGGCGTTTCCCCCTTCCCTACTCCACCCTGCGGCTCCTCTGACCGCAGAGGGAGATATAAAACAAGGACGGGAACTCTCCAGCTCAAGCAGTTGTGGCTCAAGTTAGGCCGAGTTGCGTGACTTGGCCTGAGCACGTCCTCTTTAAAAGTGAATGTTTGTTGAGTGGCTGGTACTAGCCCCATCAAGCAGGGGGATTAATGGCCGACTACACGCTCCGGGTGAAACCGATCCATTGATCCGTTTTTTTAACGGCAGTTTTAGTTGACGCCTGTTTTCTGTAACCGTCCATGATTTAATTTTTAAAAGATGTGATGGTATTAAAAGTTAGTGTTGAACGAGTAAAATATAATTAAACCTTTAATATTTAAAAGCTTTTGCCTACAGTTTGGGTGTCATCCATCAATAGCATCAAGCTTTTTTTTTACTTTTATTTACCTCCACATTCTCCATGGCCACATCGTCATTGAAAGCTAGACCCCTCTTAAAAGGAAGTCGCACTAGCATATCCCTTCCCCCATCTCTCCCCCGATCCCAATCTCTCCCCCGATCCCAATCTCTCCCCCGATCCCAATCTCTCCCCCGATCCCAATCTCTCCCCACCCCAATTTCTCCCCACCCCAATCTCTCCCCACCCCAATCTCTCCCTCCACCCCTCTCCCCCACCCCCCATCTCTCCCCCACCCCTTTCCGCACAAATTTGCAATTTATGTTTTTCAAAATCGCGATTTCCCTCAAAAATATTTACTGTGCTTAGTCAACATTGGGTATATTGATCTACTTTTATTACCATTTATGAAAAATGAGTCTTCTAAAAAAAGCGAAGTAAATTCAGTTTCTAATATTACATTTTAGAATCGGGTCAGTTTTTTTTTTTAAATCTTCCCCATCCGCTCGTCACACATCGTCAAAATGTCCGCCCCCCTCCCCCATATTAACATTGTTTCTTCGTGGGGGGGGACCATTCCCCCCCCCCCCCCGAAGAGAGTCTACCCCATCCCACTCCCGAACGAAATGGAAAATATTTAGAAAATATATACTTTTAACAGTGTCCGCCCCCCTCGGAAAATTTAGTACGACCCCCCGAAAATCTAAAGTGCCCCCCCCCCCCCCAGGAGAAAAAGGTCTGTAAGAAACACTGCCTACTAGTGTGACACCATTTACAGACGACTCCTTGGCTAGTTACTATGTACATCAGTAAAATTATTTTAGTACGAGTGGACTATTATTAGCCTAGATCGGAAATACCCCAAGCGTGCCATTGCGACTTACTTACGTTGTCAACTTTTAATTATTTTGAAATCAATAATGTATTTCAAAACAGGTAAAAAAATTATTGATAAAAAACCATATAGGAAAATTTACATTTGCGTGTAAAAAATAAGTTAATTAAATCGAATTGATTTTTTTAAAATTCTGCTCTTAATTGAAAGAGCATTTAACTCGGCCACTCAACGTGTTTACAATTCATGCAGATTCTTTATAAGTGTAATGAACTAACTATTCGATAGCTGCAAATGTTTATTATTTAGCATATTGGATATATCATGGACAATATCATTTGGGAATATATATTATATTATATATATATATATATATATATATATATATATATATATATATATATATATATATATATATATATATAATGGCATCTAAAAGTTGCCATTCAGCTCAAAATACTGCTGAGCACTGACTTAGAGAAGTTAATTCAACACAGACTTGAAGACGAACAGCATGAATTGAGTTAAAAGCAGACTAATGCAGACGTAGAGAAGTCCTAACTAGAGAGCTGACGTAAAATATGTTTATCGGCTGCGTCAAACAAGTTTCTAGCACCATCTCCTGGAACTGTGGAATTTTCTGCTAGAGAAGATGAAAGGTGTGAGCTAACGCCGCACATTATCGCTTGCTGCGAGAAACTATCCAATCGATGGAGAGAAATAGCTTCAGCCCGTGGTGGCTAATTATAAATTCGCCCTTTTAAGTGCGGGAAAGTTTTTGAATAACTCGCCGCATGGGGTGTAGTGTGGTGTTTTTGCTTGATGTGCTGAAAATAAGGGGTTAAAGACGTCAGTGTTTAATGTCGTGGTTGTAAGGGGGTTAATGATATTTGAACTAAAATGGCTTTTTTAAATATTAAAGTGGTTGTGTTTGTTTTTGCAGATTTAATTTTTCTGTTTATTTTAAAGATCGGGGTTATATATTGTTTGTAGGAATGTAGATTTATAGAAAGGAGTTAATGGACGAGCATTTTGAAACGAATTTTGTGGGTGGGGGGGGGGGGGGAGAGGGGGGGTTATTATCAAGTGAACATTGTGAGAAGTGGATGTCGATAATGGAGGCTGTGTCTGTAGGATATGGTTTCTTCCAGGCATATCTTCGCCCCCCCCCCCACCAACCCCGGAAAGTCTACCGCCCCCCCCCCCCTTCCCCGTTACAACAAAATATAATTTATATAGAAATTATTCACTTTTACGAGTGTAATGTCATTTTAGGGGGAGGGGTCTGGCTTTTTTGGGACGATGTGCTTGTGGGAAGGGGGAGGTAAAAATCGTCCCAAAATAACATGACGTCATTTATGAATAACCCCTTATCTAAACAAAACAACTTCTTGTCTGTAGTATTAAGTTATTTATGTAGCCTGGTATAGACAACTAGAGGGTAGGGGGATATGTTGTTAAAGTCCCCGTAATGTAAACGAACTCTTGTTTCGTTTAAAACATTTGTACCGAAAGGTTGTATGACTAGTGAATAATAGATATGTTCATCTAAACTAGCTGGGGGTTATTTTATTTTTAAGGCGGCTGTGCGCAACATGGGTTTCTGGTAATTTGTTCATGAACTTTAAAAAATAACGTAAATCTATTTTAGAATGTTACGATTAAAAAAAATGGCTCGTGTATAACTTGTTTTAAAACGGTTCCATTAAAAAAAAACTGATGTTAATTAAGCTCGTGTGGTGAAGCTTAAATTTATTGAGTTCATGGTAAAGTACGGTAGACGGAGTAGAGTTTACCTCTTTCTGTGACATAGCTTATGAAGAGATGGTGTGGTCAATTCTCTGACCAGCTGCCGGTACATGCCCCTACTCGAGTCATATAACCATCAAAGCTGAACTTGGTGGATACTGAGAGGTCTTAACGATATAAGTCCGAATCGAACTCGAGATCTTTAGTATAGCGATCGTGATATTTATCAATCAACTTCAATATTCTATTCTGTTGGGGGTCATCCATAAATGACGTCACACTCGTAGGGGGGAGGGGGGGTCCGTAATTTTGTGACGATGTGTGATGAGGGGGAGGGGGGGGGGGGGGTTCAGATGTTGCGACGTCACATTTTTGCATTATAAAAAAGCAATGTTAGAAAACGAATTTTAGACGTTACTTCGCGTTTTATATAACTGTTTTAATAAATTGTAATAGTTTAGACAAGATTTTGGAAAAATATCGATTTTAAAAAAAAATTCAACTGCAATTTTGAGGGGGGTTGTAGGTTAAGGTGTGACGTCATTTTAGGGGGGGGGTCTGGCTTTTTGTGACGACGTGTGACAGAGGGGAGGGGGGAGGTAAAAATCGTCCAAAAAAGCGTGACGTCATTTATGGATGACCCCTTGGCGAAAAAAAATTGGTTTGTTCACGAACTAGAGATCAGTTTTTAGCTTGTGTCGCAGGTTTAAGAAACTCGCTACCTCATGTAGTATGTAGCAATGTTGAAAATCTCAGTACTCATACATGAAAAACTAATCGGCCGGTTTCTTTCTCATGGTGTTTCTTTCAGAAATTTTTCTCTCCTGCGGAGTGGGGTACTTGAAACTTTCGTGTGGCGCGGATTTTAATTTTCCGTAGGGGGGGGGGGGGACACTGGTAAAAGAATATAATTTCTATAATTCTGTTTCTTTCTAATGGGTGTGGATGTCCCCAAATTTAAATCCATTTAATTAATTCCTGTTTTCTTTTATTCCCAGGTGGACGTGGATAATCGCTCTGTACCTGTTGACCTCACTAATTACGTCAGTAACGGTAGGGCCATATTTTATGTGTGTGCTTATTTCTTTGTTAGCTTGTGAAAAAAAAAAACATGTTATGGCATTTTTAAAATATTTCGTATACGATATCAAACAATAAATAAATACTAAATATACGTCGCAATACACGCCCTGCTTGACACCCAATATACATATCCAATCATATTCCACACCCTCAAAATATATTAACAAAATATCTTAAGGGTCGTACATAAATAACGTCACGCCGCATGACTCTACCATAATCTTTACACGTCATCACAAAAAAGCCAGAACCCTCACTCATTGTCTTAAATAACATCATGAAAATGTACACCCAACCCCACCTTCGCTACCCAAATTCTAATTAAAATAAATTATATTTTCCAACAAAATATTTGTTACATAATAGTTTTTATCACCACCTCCTTACCACTATATACATTAATTTTCTTATTCCTGCTTTAATTGATATATTCATTTATACTAATCCATCTCTAAATATACAAACTCTACAACTCCAAATTAAGCATTTACATTAATTTCTATTATTCGCATTAACCGATATCTTTATTTCCATAATACTTTTTAGCGCAATTTCCATTCTGGAGAATTGCGTTTATTAACTCGTCATTTCTGGGAATGGATGGATGGATGAATGAATGTATGGATGAATGTGTGTCCGGGCTTTAAGTCGTATCTCCTCCTCAACGAAGCAATATCGATGACTAGTTCCAAAAGCAATTATGTTAAGCAAGTTACGAGAATGAGCATAGGCCATAAAAAATTCCGGTTTCTTTCATGTATTTCCCGGAAAAGCCAAAAAACCTCGAAAAAATTCCGTTTTTGGCCCATATCTCGGCAACCAGACCACTTAGCGATTTGAAACATGTACCAATCGATTCCTGCCATAATTTAGAACAATATTGCCGAAGAAAGTTTTCAAAAATATCCTCTCGTTCGGTCACAAATTTTAAAATTACATAAACACCTACAAACCGATCGTTCTTCTAGCTTGAACGCACCCCAGCTTTATACGTCAGAGCTATTTTTAGATAACATAAGGAAATTGCGCATAAATGTCACTAGACTTTTTTAATTAACTTGTTTATCTAACATTAATTTACATTAATCCCCTTAATATTCCTTAATGTCTCATTAATTCCTCCAACCCCCTCCCCTGGCCCTGCAGGTGAGTGGCACCTGATCAGTGTCAAGGCCAAGCGTAACGTCGTCTACTACCCCTGCTGCCCGGAGCCGTTCCCCGACGTCACCTTCACCATCCACCTGCGCCGCCGCACGCTCTACTACACCCACAACGTCATCATCCCGTGCGTCATGCTCTCGACCTTGACCCTGCTGGTGTTCTGGATGAGCCCCGACTCCGGGGAGAAGGTGACCCTGGGGCTGACGGTGCTGCTGGCCTTCTCCGTCTTCATGCTGCTGATAGCCGAAAACATGCCAGCCACGTCCAACTTTGTGCCGCTGATAGGTTGGGTCAACGATTCTTTTCTACTCCAACTTTACCCCCCTATCCCCGTTCTCAGGGGTCGTCCTTTAACTCCGAGAACATGCCAGCCACGTCCAACTTTGTGCCGCTGATAGGTTGGTCAACGATTCTTTAATACTCCAACTTCACCCCCCCCCCCCCCCCTTACCCCCATTCTCAGGGGTTGTCCTTAAACAAGTTTTTTTTTACTTAATTTTTACCCCCACTCCCATTTTAATGGTCACACATTGTCAACTCGTTATTTCATACTGATAGTTTTTACAAAGATGGGATATTAGATTAATGTATCCGTTTTTTTAAACAATGTATAAAGAAATTATTTTTTGAAAGCAATAGTGTAACCAGTGGCGTAGCGAGGTTGGGTCTCACCCGGTGAGGGACTTAATGGTGTCAGCCCACAGAGGACGTAGCGACCCTTCCCGGGGACAAACTTTCAATTTTCGATTTGCACCCCCCCCCCCCCACAAACTTTCAATTTGCACCCCCCCCCCCAAACTTTCGATTTGCACCCCCCCCCCCTCAAGTTTTTCTCTATATATTTTGCTATTTTTTGCCTTGGTGTCACCCCCCTAAATGGTGTCACCCGGTGCGGTCCGCCCCCCCCCGCCCCCCCCCCCTCGCTACGCCCCTGTGTGTAACTATTTTTGCGCAACTTTTGGGTTAACTCTTAGGACAGAATCGGTTACATTTTTGAGACCTCACGAATGATGAGTTGCTGTGCACCTCGATCTATTTGCTACAGTTAAGTCTGAGTCTGACCGCTAATGGGATGTCCTTGCATTAGTGTATTTTACCCCCGCTAAAGTTCTTATCTTAAGTCCGACAGAAAAATGTGTCAGATTTGTTTTGAATAAAGGCAGCTTTCTAGTGACTCCGAGCAATATTATAATTTGGGTCAAATTTCATGAGTTAGGGCTGGAGACTGGGCTAGGTGGCGACACTTAAAAAAAGGTGGCAGCTAATTAAGTGCTGCCACTGTTAAAAGCAGTATAAATAACCAGCTTTGTGCTAATGGAGAGAGCTATCAGTGTAGATACTTGACGGTGTGATTTTTTTTGTACGAGGTTTTATTAATTTTTTTGTTAGAGTTTTTAAATGATTTTAAAATGAAATTTTGTTAGACTACTGTAGAACTTTGTGTATAAGTTCTGTATGCTAACTTAGATACCTGACTCTGCCCATCTCTCTCTCTCTCCAGGCATGTATCTGACCACCGTGATGGGCATCACGTCCGTGTCCGTCATGCTAGCCGTGCTGGTCTCCAACATCAGTCACTGCGGTCAGTACGACACGCCGGTCCCCAAATTCGTCCGCTGGATGACCATCATCCTCGCTAAACTCATGCGGCGGAAGTTAAACTTCATCAAATCCACCACCACGGAAATCCGTATCGTCACATCCGGTCCACCCAGACGCACCATCTACCGCGTCAGCAACGGGAATCACGTGTCCAGCGATTCGGGTTGCGGGTTGTTGGAATACGAGTTAGGAGAAAGTCCCAGTAACAGCGAGAATATAAATAGATTTCCGTCCAGTCGTATTCCGCCAGCGCATGCGCCTGACCGCCACAAAGGGGGACACACAAGGGACGATGACATTGAAACGATTTTAGCGCTGCTGAAGAAGGTCCTTCTGAAGGAGCACGGGAAAGACGCTAACGAGGAGATTAAGCTTCAGTGGCAGGAGGCCGCGCTAGTGCTGGACAAGTTCCTCTTCTACATCTTCTTCGCCCTGACCATCACAGCCTCCGTCGTGACCTTGGTCATCATGCCGATGACCAAACCCGAAAACCCGACCCTGGTCAAGTATACTTAAACGGGCGTCACGTGATTAGTGCGCTTGTTTATTTGGTTGTGTCCTGTTTATGGTGTACGAGCGTGGGTAATTAGGTTAATGAATTGAATTATGTAAATAGGTTTCTGATGTCTTTGAGGTACCATGTGAGTGCTTTTTGTGTATCTTCTTCTGGGTTACAGTTGTGTTAGTGCTCTGATCTTTATGTATGTGCTATGATCATTATGTATGTGCTACGATCATTCTGTATGTGTTATGATCATTCTTTATGTGCTATGATCATTCTGTATGTGCTATGATCATTCTGTATGTGCTATGATCATTCTGTATGTGCTATGATCATTCTGTATGTGCTATGATCTTTCTGTATGTGCTATAACAGCTACGGTGTGTGCTAAATGTTGGTGTGTCCCTGCTGTATGTTCCGGTATGTGTATGTGTTATGAAGTATCTGTACGAGGTTGTCTATTAAGAATGCTTGCTAATTCTGACTACCACAGTCCAACTCTTGGCGTGTACAAAGTGATGTTTTATGAGTGGCGTCAGTTAACATTGATGTCAGAGTATGACTGACTCCACACATGAAGACGTTCAGAACCATGATGGTTCAGAGGTTTAGGGTACAGTTTTGTAACTGTGTGTGTATCAGGCGAGGTAGGGTTGTCACGAGACCACCCGCCTATCAAAGGTAACTTTTTCTTATCGGAATGGATCAGACATGGGCAGATCGATCAAATCTAGCTCAGGTCGATTCTCACCAGACCTGAGCAACATGCACCGGAGTTACTTTACGCCTGGAATTTGTATCTGGAATTGACAAGATCGCTGGTCAACTCAAACTTGGTCTAGTGTCGACCTCTGGTTAATTTAAATAACAACTTGGCAACAACGAGATTACAATTAATAGTGTAGTCCTCTTCGGCAGCCACTGGTCAACTTAAATCTAGAATTGACGAAAATTGGACATTTTTTTTTGGAAATCGACATCAACTATTGATCAACTTACATCAGACCTAGTATCAACCTCCGGTCACCTTACACCTGACCTAGTATCAACCTCTGGTCAACTTACACCTGACATAGTATCAACCTCTGGTCAACTTACCCCAGACCTAGTACAACTGGTCAACTTACACCTGACATAGTATCAACCTCTGGTCAACTTACCCCAGACCTAGTACAACTGGTCAACTTAACCTGACCTAGTATCAACTGGTCAACTTACACCTGACCTAGTATCAACTGGTCAACTTACACCTGACCTAGTATCAACTGGTCAATTTACACATGACCTAGAATCAACCTCAGGCAACTTTAGCCTGACCTGGTATCAACCTCTGGTCAACTTACACCTGACCTGGTATCAACCTCTGGTCAACTTACACCTGACCTAGTATCAACTGGTCAACTTAACCTGACCTAGTATCAACTGGTCAACTTACACCTGACCTAGTATCAACTGGTCAACTTACACCTGACCTAGTATCCACCTCTGGTCAACTTACACCTGACCTAGTATCCACCTCTGGTCAACTTACACCTGACCTAGTATCAACTTTCATCAACTTACACCTGACCTAGTATCAACTTTGGTCAACTTACACCAGACCTACTATCAACCTCTGGTCAACTTAGACCTGACCTAGTATCAACCTCTGGTCAACTTAGACCTGACCTAGTATCAACTTCTGGTCAACTTACACCTGACCTAGTATCTACATCTGGTCAACTTACACCTGACCTATTACCAACCTCTGGTCAACTTACACCTGACCTATTACCAACCTCTGGTCAACTTACACCTGACCTACTATCAACCTCTGGTCAACTTACACCTGACCTAGTATCAACCCCTGGTCACCTACACCTGACTTTATGACAACCTCAGGTCAACTTACATCAGAACTAGTATCAACTTTGGTCAGTAACACCTGACCTAGTATCAACCTCAGGTCATCTTACACCTGACCTGATTTCAACCTGTCAACTTACATCAGACTTTGATGTGAGTCAACAAGAGGTTGATACAGACTCTATCAACCTCTGCAGTTGATCAGTTTGTGGAGAGAAGACTAACACAAACAAAACTTCTTCGTTCTCTATTTTCTAACTAAAAATTACTCTTCAGACCTAATGGTCTCAGCATTTGAATCAGACTACCAGTGTGTAGACTCTGGAATTGTCTATAGACTAATTCTGGATCTAAATCAACAGA